GATCATTAATATTTTTCCAGGTAATCTCAATCTGATATTCAAAACCAAATCCTACTATTATTTTCTTCATCATGAACCCTACATACCAGCTCATTGTGATTACTGTTCATCCATTACCATGCATACTAAATCTATACCTTTGCTCAGGTTATTCCCCTCGCATGAAGTGCCATATAGAATGGTGGAACTCGAAAAGAAGTTGGAGATCATCTAGCCCAATTCTTCGTTTTATAAATGAGAAGCTTGAGGTACTGGAGCACATGAAGTCAATTTCTGATAGAGGCCAGAACCCAGATGTGCTACTTTCCAGTCCTGTACTTTTTTCACCACATAATTTATTTTTCTTCTTTTCTTCTGATTTTGCATGTTAGAATTCCCCCTGTTCTTCAAGATCTAAGATAAAAGGCACTTCCTCCACGGTGTCCAACCAGCAGTGACCTACCACTCAGCCTGTTTGCTCACACTCAGTCTGTAACCTGCTAGATGTTTGTGATCCTTAGCTCCTGTCTTGGATCTTAAATCAGTTAAGTGAGGGTGATGATGCTATCTGAGACAATGTGTGTCCACCAAGGAGATGCCTTCCACATAGGAAACTCTCTATGCCTTTTTGTCAAATAAATGATTAAACAAAGGAACAAGATGTATCAACTTAGAACCCTGGCTACTAAATCTATAATATTAGAAAATGGATGCATGAAAATGTAAAAACAAACATGCAATGATGCAATCCATTCTGATTCCCTTGAACAAAAAAGCTTCCACATACATTTCGAAGTTTGCTATTGATTTTTAAAAAATAATTTCACTCCTCCTCTTTAAGCCTGTCTTTTAAGAAGAAGAGAATTAGTGAGTTATAGCAGAGACTGAGTATTAGGGATTTAAAGATTAAGTCTGGAAATCCATGTGTCTCCTTAAAACACGCAGAGTGCCATTTCAGCTAAGTGAAGAGAGGCTTCCAGCCAAAAAGACCCAGTCTAGTTAAATTGAAAAAGAGTTGGTTAGTGTTTGCCCGTGGATGTTTAAACATAAAATAATCTATCACCTCAATTCTTCTGTTCCAGTATATTTATTAAGTAAATGTTTATTATACTAAACGCTATTTCAAACTGGATAAGGGAGAGGGAATGAATTTTTAAAAGTAGGAATTTTACATATCTCATGTATCGGATCATCTTTTAAAAAATCAATACATTTCTATTTTTAAATATATTGTTTATGTAGGACTCAAAGGAGGGTTAGAAGGAAAAGCTCAGCCCCAAATGAAATGAGTCCTAAGGAAAATACACACACACAAACAAAATTCACTCACAGAGGGCCTACTAGTGATTTTTTAAATGAGACACAGAGGGTAGAAAGAAAAAGGCAGGAACAGGCCCTCTGTGTTTTCAAACTTAAGAGTCAAACCAACGAAGTTTATCACAGCCAGTGGTTAGCGACTATGGGGATAAGCAGACATTTAGACACTTGACTTAATTCAATTCACTTCAACACTATGCAGCAAATCATTATTGAGTGTTTATTATATGCAAGGCAGTGTGTTGGCTAGGAAATATAAGGTAATTAAGGATGATTACAAATAATTTCTATCCTCAGAAGTTTTGGGCAGTATGGATACTGTTCATAGATCAATTGATCTGAATATCAACCCCATCCCCCCATACAGAATTTAGCACTGGTTCCTGGGAAAGAAGGAGTCTCAGTTACCCAGACAACTGTTTCTAGTCATCACTTAACATATTTAATTTGTCTTCCTATAACTTAAGATTCTTCATTTGACTTAAATCCAAGCATTTTCTCTAAATCTGCCTTAAAGACATTTTCAGAAATGAAGCTTTGAGTGGTTCTGGAATCTGAAGACCTCATTCAAAACATTAACATATTTCAACAACATTTACTCATATATCGTATTTTACTAAATTCTATGAAATGCTTTAAAATTATATTCACTGAAAAAGTAATGGTAATTTTGTTTCTAGAAGGTAAAATGCAAACCAAACTTAAATGGCACCTTGGGCAAAATTTTATCAAAATGTTAGCTTCTTCAAAAGTTATTAAGTAGTCAATAGGTATCCACAGAAGCAGAACCTTTTCTGCTCCCCAACTAGAATGTACATTCCTTAAGAGTAGGTATTCTGTTTTTTATCTTTGTAAAGCTAATGAGGGTCTTACACAGTGCCTGATACACAATGGGCACTCAGTATTGCATGTTCAGAATGAATGAATGAATTAATAAAACATAAGGCAGTATTCAGAAAACTTCATCTCTTAAATTCTAATTATCCACAAAGGTAAGCAAAGAATGATTCGGTAATATAGAACAAAAGAATTATTTGGTAGTATAGAACAATCCAAGAAACCAGGCAGGTCTTTTCCAGGGCCAAAGAGCAAAGTTACCCTGAGAAGAGGAGCTAGGGCAAGACGGCAGCTGACCACAGGGCCTACTCCACTTGACCTCCCAGAGATGTCCTGTGGGGTGCACAAATTGCAGACATCTCCCCAGAGGTCTTGTTTCCATAGAAATATCATCACCAAAAGCTGTGCCCCATAACCTGATATCCTGTAAATCTGTCCAACATACTGAGCAGAGCTATCCAATTCCAAAGAGTCACTGGGATTTATTGCCAAAGATTTCTTTGTAAATGTTAGAGGACATATCATTCTCATATTTTGCCCTCCTTGGTGAGATATTTAAATAAACACATAGTTTCATTCCTGGACTCACAAACTTCAGTTACATATCACTCTAAGGAACAGTGTGACCTCTGTGAAAGCTCAGGCTTGGAATTCTGTGAGGAGGGTAATCACAAGATTAATGTTTTCCCTATTTAAATCTAATTTCAAATTAAAAATAGCTGCAAAAGCCTCTACTTATCTTAGAGGGGGAGGCAGGCTGGCAAGGGGCAGGGATTACACTGCTACAGAACATCCACAATAAATCCTCCATGTTTCAGCATTGAATATGTTAATTGGGGACTAGCAAATAGCATTTGTCACATGTGCAATGTGCCTTCCTTTATCAATAAAGTATGTGATTATTTTGTTTTTGAAACGCAAACATAAATTCATTATTTTCAAATAGTCATATTTTGGTATTTAATATTTTTGCAGGATTTTAAGCACTCCGAAATCATTGATTTATGTGCTGAATAGTCTCACTTATTATTTCCATGCTATGAAAAACATGAAATAATTTAATTGACTTTCCCAAGGTCACCAGCAAAGCAATGATGAGAAACCTGAGAATGAATCCTTTCTTCTTCCAAATATTTTGAAAGTTGGCTCATATAAAGAAAAAAAATATGTATGATGAAAGAGCACTTCTGGGAATGAAAAAGAGAAACTTGGTCTCTCAATGCCTAGAGGTCTGTGCTAGTTCCAAAGACAAAGCTTTTATTTTAAGCACAGAGCTCAAATTAATCTTCATTCTAACCAAACATTTTCTTTGTTTTATTCTGAATTTGGAAAAATAAATGAAATAATCATAAAGAAAAATTTTATAAAGTTTGCCCTTATTACTCTAATAATTCCAGAGTTTTGTGCTCTGGCACATATTTAAATAATTTAGGATTTCAGCAAGCTACCCACGTAAAAAATATCTCGTGTAATGTAATATTTATTGAGCCAACATTTATTGTAAGCTTATTAGATACTATTCTCACCTTCCCATTTAGTTCTTGTAAAAAACTATATGGAGCTGATGCTAATCATACCATGCCCATTTTACAGATGAGGAAATGAGGTATAAAAATAGTAATTTTCCCAAGGTCACAGAAATTGTGAGGGTTGGAGACTGAATGCAAGCAGGACGAGTATCTATCCAAAACAAAACAAAACTGTACACTGAACAACTGCACAGCCCTGTCAAAAGCTACTTTTTAGCTAATAAATTCTCTTTTCCTGGAGGTTTCATTAAAATGCCAATAGTAACAAGAACAACTTCAGCAGAATGTTAATGTAATTTAGTGTTTCCTGGAAAACCTTATTTCTATTTCTAGAATTTTCCTTATTCCTGTAGACTTTTTCTATTTTCTTGAAGCCTGGTTCTATTTTGTAGATAGGAAGGCATTCATGGCAAACTGAATTCAAATTCCTACTTTGCTTCACATGGACCATGTGACCTGGGGCTTACTATCCAAGTTCTTCAAGTCTCTTTCATATTGGTATTCAGCAAATTGTCCCCAGAATTCTAGCTATAAATGTTTATTAGGAAGTAAAACAGAATTTAGAGATTAGCCCAAACTTAATTTACAAATGAAAAAAAAAAAATGAGGCCCAGAGAAATTAAATGTTTTGTTTGTTTTTGTTTGTTTGTTCGAGATGGAGTCTGTCTACCTCAGACTCCAGGCTGGGGGACAGTGGTGCTATCTTGGCTCACTGCAACCTCTGCCTCCCGTGTTCAAGCATTTCTCCTGCCTCAGCCTCCTGAGTATCTGGGATTACAGGGATCCACCACCATGCCCAGCTAATTTTTGTGTTTTCAGTGGAGACAGGTCTCACCATTTGGGCTAGACTGGTCTCGAACTTCTGACCTCGGGTATCTGCCCGCCTCAGCTTCCCAAAGTGCTGGGATTACAGGCATGAGCCACCGCACCTGGCCAAAATTAAGTGATTTTCAAAAACCTCTAAGCTAACTCCTTATGGAAACAGTAATGAACCCAGGTTGCCAGAGTCCCAGGCGTGCACTCTTTCACTACCCTGTGCTATCTCTAGCTGGTGAATGAATAACTGATACTCCCTTCCAGGAAAAGTTTTCCTCAGGCAAATAAGGTATGATTATGTATAACCAGTTACAGTGCTGGGCAGAGACGTGGAGGTGTAGTCAAAAGTCTTTTCGGTGCTAGTGAATTTTAAGTCCTAGACAACGTGTTCAGAGTCCCTTGTTGCCACTCAGTGTTGACTTCCTCTTGCCCATTTGAATCCATGACATTTTAGCTGAGCTCTGGAAGCTACACAAATATCACTTTGGTGGTTTCCTTTTGAAGCTTTGCTGCATGACTTGTATAAGTTGTCATGCGTCATAGGTTCACCCTCCCTGAACATCTCCATGGAACACCTCCATGGAGCTTTCCACGGGAGCAGTTGCTGACAGTTACTGCTGCCAACTGACTTCTTATGTGCCCTGAGATCTCTGTGGCAAGGCCCAGGACTCTCTCTCTCCTGGCTCAGATCTGTTCAAAATTTTATCATTAATGTGAATAAATAAATAGAAGGCTTGCTGGGCCAATTTACAGGTGATACAAAGATGGAGACTGCAAGGAATATGATAATGAGGGAGTCAGGTATAAAAAGTCATGCGGTTTTCAAAACAAAGTAAGTGATAATTTGATTCCCCTCATTTTAGTCAGACCACCTATGAACTATTATTTTCCTTTCTAGGTACCAAGGAGATGGTCAAACTGAAGAGCATCCAGAATTTTTGATAAGAATAAGAGATAATTCAAAGCATGTGAAAATTATATAGGGTGGTTGAAGGAGCTGGAATTGTTTATCCTGGGGGAATATGATAACTGTCAAAAACAATGAAGGATCTGAGATTTTACCCTACTTGCCGGATAACTAGTTTGCCACAGTTTCATGGATGCTGGCAGAAGACACAAGACCTCTGGGTCAGAGACAAAGGACAGTTTATCATTTATAGTAATCACAACACTGAGTATCAGCATTTTCCTGTGCCAATTCCTTAAGCTCCAGTTCCCACAGGGCAACACAAAAAAAGCCAGATGGTGCTTGCGCACACAATGGGCTGCATTACAGGAGGGGAACTCTGAGCTTAGGAAAACCCAGTCTTTCATAATGGGCTGCAAGCAAACCTGCCCAGCCAATTTTAGGAAAAGGGAGATACTATCTCTAAACAAATCTCTTTGAAAAGAACAAAACGTTGTCAGTGCCTCTGCCGGAAAAACATGCAGAAACAGCAATGATCCATGGAGTGTGACTTTCAACAATAACTATATTTTGAGAGTTGGCATGTTAACGAGTATTAGAAATCTCTGTCACTCCAGAAGACAAAACAAGACTCAACTGGCAAAAATTACAGAAAGACAAATTTGGGATTGATAAAGAGATATTTTATAAACAACAGAACAAGCTAAAAATGGGATGGTCACTTTAAGACCTTAGACATATTAAGGAAGAAACTAGGCAGCCACTTGTTGTTGACTATTGAGGAAAATATTAATATACCAGAGAATCACTGAATGTAGTGGTTATATCAAACTTCTTCCAGCACTCCAGTTATCAGAAAGTAGAGGGAGAAAAAGAAGTGAAGTAACTAGGAAAAAAGGCAGAACAGAAAAGGATAAAGTATACTTTCAAACTTGAAATACTTAATTGTATATTTTCTGAAGTCATATCTGTGTCCCAAGAGGATCCAGATAACTCTTTGATAAGCCATAGACAGAGCAGTATCCAGAGCCTTTATAAACTTATGTTGTAATATCCCTTGTCAAGCTTCTTCAGCTAAGAAAAACAGCTCAATAATCTACTTGGAAATTTTTAAAAAAGAAAAACAAAAAAAGAAACTAACTTTGATTCTTTTTCCTAGATTGATTATCCTGTGTTTTGAGAAACAGAATTTTTGTTAAGGCATTCTCTACAATCTAACTGGAAATACTTCTCGTTGCCTGGACACTTAAACTGAAGCTTCAGAATATTGCAAAAGAAAATACAACATCCATAGGACTTTTTTCAGAAACAAAATATGTCTTCCCTCATCCCTGCCAAAAGAGACTATTTAAGATTATTATAACTTTCATGTCAATTAACAAATGGATATTTTTATTTATGGTTTTATCAACTGGCTCTTCTGTTTGAACCCATTTGCACACCACATATGTAAGTTGCTACAGCTACAACCAGTGGGTGGAGAAGTGGCCATGGTCATACCATATGACCTCTCTGCTTCTCTGTTTCTTTGTGTGTAAAATGAGGAGGTTGAAATAGATGACAGCAATGTCTCTTTCCAGCTTTTCAAACTCCAAAGAACCCAGGAAGAGCCTCTTTCTTAAAAGCTGGCATAAGTTTGGTGCTCTGGGGCTGGTCATAGGGCCTAGAAGAGAATAAGGGTGGAAATCTCTTTGAAAAGATAGTTTAAAGGGAATTTCTCTTACTCTGAAGCACAGAAAGTAGAGAAACATCAATCAGGATATTGAGAAAGGCTGTGGGATGGAGGGATCTCAGATGATCTTGAGGTGCTTTAGAAAAAGACATGAGTATAGTTTATAGCAGGAAACTGAAGGCAAAATTTCCACTGTACTAAATGCAGCTGGGAACTTTATTATAAAAACATGACCTTGGAAAGGACTAAAGACTGGCTAAAGTACTGGGCTTGGTTCACCTGACCAGAGCAAGATGCCATATGGGGAGGCCTCATGTCCTCAGAGCACACCCCTCTCTGAAAATAATTCATTTATTCTTGTTAGAAACGGGAAGTACAAAGTTTAGAGGGTTCTCCTTTTCCATCTCAAAACAAAACAAAACAAAATCTCTTCTGGAGTAGGCCAGTTGGATCCTGGATCGCATACACACGTATAGTCATTTGGGTACTTTCTGGAGATCACGGCTCAACTCTACAACTTTTTGATTAATCAATAACTGAGATACACATCTTACATAATTTTTCTTGGTCGACAAACATCTCACAAATCATATCTTAGGTTTTATTCAATGTTTTTGGGCTTAGACTATTTATTGAAAATAACCATGTTTCAATATATTTTACATGTCAATTCTGAAAGTTGACATCTTGAAACTACAAGGTTTTTTTAAAAAAGTAATTTATAGTGAACAAGTGAAATTTCTCATTGTACCAAATTTATCAATATGTTCACATTAAAAAAAGCTTCAGTGTTTCAGTAAAACACTGCAATGAATCCAATATAAAAGGAACTTGAATACATATTTTTTCTGCATACATAAACATCTGCTCTCTCTAAGTTTTGCCTCTCAAAATTGTTTATTTTTCCTCAGCCTTAACCCTTAAAAATAGCAAAAGAATTGCCTGTCTTGAAATGTTTATTAATGTTTATTAATTTAACAGCAGGGTCAAGTTAGGCTCCTTCACACCCAAGTTAAACTTGCTTTTACGCAGTGTTTAAAGTATTTTAAAAGGTCTCTTGGAGGGAGAAATGTTGATCTAGAACTTGGGATCCCTGGGGGAATAAAATACAGGGTTGTGATTTCGAGCTCAGGCTAAGAATGAGGTTGCGCATTTTTCTGAATCAAAAGACAGGTCTATTCTAGAGAGTGACCTTGGGGAAGTCCAGGGTTTCTTTCCCCCATCCTGGGATGCAGATATACTTCATAAAGGCCAGCTGCACTCGTTATAAATATCTTGTGAGATAGGCAAAGTGCTGCACTGTAACTCCTTTAGCCAGAAAGCCAGGAAAGAGAGAGCTTATGTGACCTTTTGAGAATCAGTTGTTCACTCCAAGAAGCCCGGAGTAATTAAAACAGAGAGTTAGCACTTCTTTTGGGGGGATCAATTTACTGTGAATAGCCCAAAGCTTTTTTTCACTTGCGATGGTACTCTTGCTCTGGACAAGGGAGGAGGCAGGAGAGCCAGTGAAGGGAGGTTGAACAAGGAGCAGTAATCTAAGAAGAGAAAACAAAAATAGAGTGGGAAATAAAGGGAGGAGTGAAAGAAGGGCAGGCTTTGGGAGGCCCTGTGGCACTTGTGGGCAATGCCTGTGCTCAAAGTCCTCTTAGGGAGCAGGTGGCTATTTCAGCGTGTTCCCATTATAGAAATGGATCCTAGTGTTGCCCTGAGGAAGGGCACGGAAGCTGGAACTGACACACCACTCCTTAGGTCATTTTTTCCTCGTGAATCTACGGTGACTCCCACCCGTGATTTTTCTGTTTAGGACCCTCTGAGGTCTAGCTCTGCCTTTGTCCTTCCCGTAGGAGCTCCAGCTACCTCTCCAACTCTCTACTCCAGCCAGGCTGCACTCCTGCCTTGAGCCCCACACCCATACCTCTGTTTCCTTATTCTATGGTTTTCCCTCTTCCTTTCCTTTGCACATGTCTAAACTACCTCCATCAACTACCTCCATCATAGGTCAAGATTTATTTTATTTCATAATAATAACTTACATTGCATTAAACTTTATGCCAAGCACTTAAACATGCACAATTATACCTGATCCATGGTCTCCTGGACATTTCTTTAATTATTTTGGCTACATTCATATTTCCTCATGTTTTATCTCTTGGAGCATTTGTTCACTAACCCAACTCTACAGAATCAACCCCTAGGGATGAAACGCTGTAATAATGTCCACTGTCAATAAACTCCCCAGGAAAAATTGGAGTTAGGAGTTAGGGTGACCCAAGCTGGTAGAATTTTGACTAGTGCTGTTTATATTTTTCCATATTGTATAATAAATTTTTTGCCATGATGATGTACAACTTTTATAATGAAAATTAGCTATTGTGCCACTGCACTCCAGTGGGCGAAAGAGCAAGATCCCATCTCTTAAAAAAATAAAAATAAAAATAGAATGTAAAAAAATAATACAAATTAGCACACATATTAAGCTCCCCAGTTGATTCTGATGATTTGGGAACCATCAAGTCCATGTTAGTCATTTGAACAATGATTCAGTCATATGCCTTTTTAAATGTATTCTCCATCCAACAAGGTAGAAAAGTATTCAACATTAAGAACTGGCCCTTTCTGTTTTCTCTCTCTCTGGAGCTAGCAATTCCAGGCTCAAAGCAGGAGCTCCATAAATACATGAGTGGGTTTGAACAGACTCTAACAAAAATATGAAAAAAATTAATGAGGACATACACGACACAGTACCTTTAAAAAAAAAAAGAAAATCTTACAATTAATAGGTTAAAGAAGTGTGCTTTTTTTAATTAAAAAAGGTAATGACTAGCTGAGGAGAAAATTAGAAGACAGAGATTATAAATACAGCCTAACAGGGTTGGTTTAGGCTGAGTTATCTGCAGAGTTGGTTTAGATACAAGCTTTTCCTTCCAATAAAAGTCGAAATAAGAGGTATTCACATCTCCCTTTTTGGTGGTCTTAAAAACTATCAGTTTTATCTGTGCAGGACAATTTATAGGCGCTCTTCTTGAAATGGGAGAGGGATGAATTAGATGACCTTTCATGCTGTTAGCGCTTTTCTCCTCTCTTGGAAAAATGTTAAGCCTCGGCACTCAGTACCAGGTAGCACCCTCAGTGCATTAGTTCTGGTGAAATAAGAGAGGAAGCATTTCTGTTTCTTGAAAAGTTTTATTTGGTGACTATATACAATCATAAATACACATTCCTCTGAAGACTATAAAAGTCTTCTCCTCTAAACAATTAACTTTTCATTAAAAAAAAAAAACTTGAAGCTGCACTTGCAGCCTATTATTTAAATCATTTGTGTAAAGAGTAAATTCAAGTAATGTATAGCTACCTCTACACATGTTATTAATATGAATACATATAATGTAGTTGGCTTGGTAAATAGTTTTTAAAACTCTGTAGCCTTTGAATTAAATTTTACTTGAAAAACAAAACACAATTCTCACTCACTCACATTTACCAAGGACAGAACCATCTCTTAAGCTTTGCCATTGCTTCCCAATGCTCCCTGCTCTAGGAGAAAACAAGGAACTACTTTGGGTCCATTCAGCGCAATCTTCCTCATTCTGCTCAGGACCCAGATAGATGCGCATGAAATAAAAGAAATATAGACATAATTAGAGCTAGGAAATCTCTGCCTGATCTTGTCACCAGATTCATATGAGATCCTTTCTAGTCTTTTATACGTTAGTCAGATCAGGTGGTGTTTGTTTGATGGCAAATCTATGTCAGTATTGATGCTCTTGGTTTCACAATCACACAAGTTTAAGAGTATTCATTCATTGAGCAAACATAAAAATTTAAACCTTCTTATGTTGGGTTAGTTATATAAATGTCCATTTCCAACATCCTCAAATGCCTTTAATCCAACTGCATATTTATAGAATAATGGATTATGGTCCTGGGACCAAATATTGTTTAAATTTGATGTGTTGAGAACACTACATAAAGGGAATCCTCGCCAAGACACCAAGCACTTCATCTCCTCAGGAGGAGATCCTGCGCCATCCCTTCTAAGCAAGGGCATGATCGAACTGCCCTTTCTCCAGGCCTTCAAGTCCATCAGCCCAGGTAGAGGTTGGCATGCTTCGATATGGATCCAAAAGAATCCGGAAGCACCGGACAATGAGAATGCCCAAAAAGATAAACAACAAAATCACAAAAACAAATGTCGTTTTCTGCTCCAGGGACATGCTAGAATCTGCTGATATGTTCCCAAGGGGCACTAGGGATGAAGGGATGGGCTGTCCTCCATCCATGGTCCAGGGAAGCCAGAGCACAGGATGTCCTGGTTTCCTTTTTTTCCATCATCAATCTGCAGAGGTCATGGTGGCTGCACTCTGGAGAGGCTGAGTTATCTGCAGGGAAAAAGGAAGGGAAGGGAATACCTATAAAATAGCCTTATTTTTTAGGTTCACAGTCCTATTTTTTAGAGAGAAAAAGAAATCTGTAAACCAGCTTTCTTTTTCACCAGAGATACTCAATTCTGGGGAGAGATATTTTACTCTTGCATGAAATTACCAGATTGTTCTCAGAAGAGCCACCTGGGGCCAGGAGGGATGGGCAGGGAATACAACTATAATATAGAAGATAAGAAATGTGCACAGTAATATTGACCTCAGGGTGTGCTGTCGACTTGACATCCGAACCCAGCCTCCCCTGCCAAGTCTCCTTCAGCTCCGCTCCACTAATATTACTCTCACGTTGTTCTTATGATAGCACCATTGAGCGAGCCTCAGCCAGCATCGTGGCTAAACTGACACACATTAGCCACTTTACTGCGAGCTTCATGAAAGCAGGGATCTCTGTAGCCCCAGTGCAAGGAAACTGAGGCTAGAAAAGGTGGCTAAAATAGAAACCTTCTCCAGGAGCGTCAGGTTCTGGGCTCTGGCCTCCACTCTACTGCAAAATAAGTGTGGGACCTTGGAGAGGTCACTAAGCTGTAAAAATGCAAGTAGAAATGCCTGCATCTTTCATGGTGCTGTAATCAGGATGAAGAGCTGTGAAAACCCTTTGAAAAGTATACAAAAAAAAGAAAAACAAACAAAGCCAAGTGTTGCTTCGTCTAAGATACAACTAAGGGAGCTATGCTGCTTCTCCTTTCCTTTCTACTTCCTGAGCCAAGGGAGAACGGAGGTATCTCAGACTCCCAAACCATCAAGTTACTGTTGCTTTTTCTTTTTGCCTCAGAAAACAAAGACCAGGTTCAATACTTGACCCTTGGAAGCACCTAGAGAATTAAGCCAAGAGAAAGGAATTGATCGACGCATATTTTCAAAAGGATAGTTTTCCTTACAGTGGTTTCCTACCATTTAAGACTATTTGGTACAGAGGAAGAGAAGGAAAAGGACAAGCTAACACACTATTTTAATTTTACTGGTGGAAAAACTTAGATATATAGATATTACTGTATAAATATACAAGTATATATTACCATAGAAATATACAAGTATATACATGACAAGTATACACAGAGGTCATTAAAAGCTTCAGATACTGAAGTAAATCTACTTAAATCACACTGTAAACAAAAGTATATACATTAGACACTACTGTATAGAAAATTAAATAACATTTATTATGAATTTGTTTATAATAAAAATTACACAGCACAGTAACTAACTATGGAAATTAACAAGGACACAAAATAAATTTTGTTCAATGAAAATAAACAACCAAATAAAAATAGAATATGTGACCTAAAGTATCAATACAATGTTTCTTCAGTTAACTTATAATCATTGCCTTCAAGTACAGCATTAGTAATCATAGTATAACAGTCTGCATTATATTGACACTTCAAAGTCTATAAAATCACAGTTTAAAAAACAGTTTATAAGGGGGATCTCAGCCAGGATCTGGGAGGAAGGAGTTACCAGTTGGGTAATGCATCATTTTTGCAGCTCTATCACTTTGAATTTTTTTAAAGGCTAGAACAGTTGCAAAACTCATTTATAATTCATGTTTGTTTTGAAGTAAGATTGGGATAAAAATTTGACTGCATTTTAAATAAATAAGCTCTTTAGGAATTTAGAGGATGTTAATGCACTGGCTTTTGTTTTGGTTTGCTTGTTTCTAAGCACCCTCCCAGCCTTGGGTATTAATTCCTTGTGGGCCAGGAAAGGAGTGGTAGAAAGGGAGGCCAGAGCCTCCAATGCAGGTCTCCTCAGCATATCAGACAGGGCCTCCTGTGTCCACCAAAAAGATTCAAACTATACTTAATCGTATGAAACATAAAATTATCCAAGGACTGGGCCAAAGAAAAGCCCACTGATGACAGAGGAGCAGATGCTGAGGCCATCCCTGACCTGCTCCTTCTGCTTTTTCATATCCTACTGAGGATCCTCTCACTGTGATCCCTGCTCTCTTTGCTGGATTATCAGAATCTCATTCCATGTCCTTTTCCCTCCAACCCAAATGAGGCCAGAGTCCTGTTCTTTGCCCATTCTCAACAGAGCTGAGACAGGAAGTTCTTTTTTTTTTTTTTTTTTTTTTTTTTTGAGATGGAGTTTTGCTCTTGTTGCCCAAGCTGGAGTGCAATGGTGCGATCTCGGCTCACCGCAACCTCCGCCTCCCAGGTTCAAATGATTCTCCTGCCTCAGCCTCCTGAGTAGCTGGGATTACAGGCATGTGCCACCATGCCCGGCTAATTTTGTATTTTTAGTAGGCCGGGATTTTTCCATGCTGGTCAGGCTGGTCTTGAACTCCCAACCTCAGGTGATCTGCCCGCCTCAGCCTCCCAAAGTGCTGGGATTACAGGCATGAGCCACTACGCCCGGCCATTTTCAGAAAGTTCTTTAGGAAAACACCACATAACCCAAGAAGGAAATATAAGAAAAAAAAGACCATTAATGGTATAAATTGACATAAGGATTTCTGGATCTGTGAAATCCAAAAAATCAGGCAAGAACTAGATAGAGAACCTTTGGAGTCCTTGAGAATGACCTCCTCTGCACAAGCAGGCTGACTAGTACCACGATACTTTTGCTCAGTCCCTCCCTTCCCACCAGGGGTCTCCACTTGATGAGCAACATTGTGAGCCCAGGAGCAGTCTTCCCCAGCCTTCTCTTCCATACAGGGCAAATGCCAGATCCTTCTCTCCTGGATCAACTGTCATACTTTCTAGGCTTCACCCACAACTCAGGATTTAGAGAGAGCAAACCATTCATTTGGGGGCTGCAGTGACAGGCAACCATTCCAGAAATTCCAGCAAATAACTTATTCATCCTGATTCAGATTATCTGCCATATCTGCCTCTTCAACCACCCTGGGAATGACTCTGGGACTCAGATTCTGCATGAGGATGCCAAGTATTAGAATTATTTTTAAAATCAGTTTTATTTTGAAGTTTTACCATCCTCTACTGATTAAAAGGCAAGGTACAAAGGAAGGGTTAGCCCTCTTTGCATTGAGAAGCCTCCTAAAATATAACTATGTGTATTCTCCAACGTCTTCATCACCAAACCCTTCCTAATATACCAAATTATGAGCAAATAGAGGTCAAAGAATTTTTTAAACTCTGTAGCACATTTAGAGTTGTAAACCTCTCATCCCCCAGCACACTGTGGTGCCTAAGTTCCTATAAAAATAACTGCTTTTAGTCAAAGTGTCAACGTCTCCTATTAAATTGCAATATTTTACCTAGGAAAGTGGCACATTAATGTGCTAGCAGGAATTTGTGAGGACTGTTCCCGCCTGAAGGAGGGGGAAATGTGGTAAGTAGAAAGGCGATTGAAGGAAGACCTTGTTGGGAATGAGGGACTCCTGGACAGGACAGGAAGACAGGCATGGTGGTGTGAGCAGGGGGCCCACTGGAGAGCCTTGGGGGAGGGATGAGGGATGGTGGGTAGAGACAATCAGGAGATGGTTGCTAAAGGGATAAAGAGATCCAGAAACCAGTGCTGACTATTTCACAATTTTTCCCAGGACTGATTGAAACCCCCGGAAGAGTCTGCTTGATTTTAAACCTGCAATCAGCTAATCAATAATTTACCAATATAGAAAGCTCCAACAGCATGTATAAGTTGAAGGACGCATCAGCTATTATAAGGTGGAGAAAAAGAAATAAATGTAGTCATTTTGCTACCACAATACAAAAATATCTCAGGACATGTAAATTTTTTAAATGACTGTCTTGCAGTAAAATGTCCCTTTTTGGTAAAAATGATTCTTAGAAAATGTGCAAGGTTGCTTTTCACTGAATAATGACATCTGTCTTTTAGATGACCAGGGAAATCTGTGTAAGTCTATTATTTCAAAGGATTTTGACACTACCATCAGAAATCTTCATAATAACACATGGCAGCTATTTTAAGTATAAAGAAGGACCACAGTTACTCACGGCCGTTTTTTAATCCTGACAGACGTTCCCCATCACACAGTACATCTGTGTCTTCCCTTTGTCAGGTCCATTTGTGGGTGCTCAGGAAATAAAGCCTAATTTTAATACTGAAAAATTAAAGAAAACCTTAATTAAAAGATACCCTTTTCAAAAGTCATATAATACATTCCTTTGCTCGAGTCAAGCTCCCTTGTGATATTGACAAAAACAGAAGACAACCGTAATGACTTATGAAGTCCAGTGAGCACAGTCGTTACAGCCACGGTCATTCACACTCTCAGCCGCTCGCTTTAGTTTGAGTAATTTTCAAAGTGGCTTTCCTCTTCCCTTGCCCATACTTCCTACACACTGCATCTTGATTCATCTTTCTAAGCCCAGACCTCACCACTTCTTCCCTCAGAAAACCTTTGCACCCCAGTGTCCACGGCCCATTAACCCCCTTGTGGGCCTGATGCCCAGATGTTTTCTGGACCACAAATTAGGACCTACGCTGACAATGGAATTTTTAAGATCGGAGTTTTATTTTTATAAGTTTAGGAAGGAGCCAACACCAAATCACATTTAGTTCTCAGTAAAATGGCCGATGTGTCGATCAGAATAAACCTCCATGTAACTGAGTGTTGGACACCTGTGGAGAATGTCCTCACTTTGTCTATTTTTCAGCTTGATCCAATACCTGCTGTGCCCTGAATGCCTCCAGGTTTCCTACCTCGTAATACTTGCCTCCTCTCCTTCTTTCCATCTGTGGAGAGAAAGAGAGGAGGCAAGCATAATGAGGCAAGCATCTTTCCTCTCCTTCTTTCCATCTCTCCCTCCCTTAGGGTTCACACCAAATACCCCCTTCTCAGTGGGGCCTTCTTTGTCTGCCTTCACTAAGGATGGGGTGTTTTCCACTCCATCTCCAGAGACATCACCAGTACTCTGTGGCAGCACTGATTACAGTGCAAGTCTTGACAGTGTTTATCTCCACCTTATTATACAATAAGCTCCTTGAGGAATTATTTGCTGTTCTGGGATCACTGCCTTTTTAAATATAGGTTAAATCAAATCTTCAACCCCTTATAGTCCAGGGAACTGAATTCAAAATCCAAGGCGCCAACTAACTGATGCAGAGAGGAAAAACAAAAGCACAAGTCATCCAGCCAGACTGAGGTGCTAGACCATCACATTTGAAGTAAGTCTTGTTTGAAAGAATCACAGCTAGTTCAAGTCACAATGACACGTTAAAACCACAGATCTTGTAATTTGAAGAGCCATAGTTATTTGGCTCTTTAAATTTTCCTTGGCCTCCGTGTTGATGGGTGGATCTGAAATATAAAAATCAGCCAGAGATAGACAGTTACCCTTTTATTTAAGAAGTCAATTTTTTCTTACCTAATCTACTTTTTGGTGGGGGAAGGGCAGCCATTTAAAATATCCTGAATCCAAATGTCTTACACGAAAACTATTAATGTCAACATGTACCCTTCTCAGACTTGGATCCCTTGGACATTTTATTTCATTCGCATCTCATTATACAATTTCACAGTAAGGAAAAAATACTTTCTCTTAAGAAAATTATCTTAAAGCAATGACATGTTTCTTTTCTTTCTTTCTTTCTTTTTTTAGTGACAGAAACAGAATTACTTAAGTGCATTGGACACCTTGTTCTGTGGAGCCACACACAAGGACTTGATTCTACATGTCATCAACTCAAGAGCCCACCCTTTTGCAGTAGGGTGCAATGATCATATTAATAGTTACAGTACCTGTGTAGTCCTGCCTGGCACATAGTGGGGGTTTGATAAATAGGTGGGGATGAATGAGTGTTTTCTCTTTACACCATTTTTGTGCAAAATGATAAATATTTTTCATTTCTATTATGTGATCAAGCACACTAAGGTATGAAAATTATAAATAAACTGCTAAGAATTATAAAAATCAGTTACCAAACAGGTAGCGCCCCCCACACCCACAATCCCACCGCCAAAGGATGTTAGATCCCAAGTTTTTCACTGGCATGTTGGAATGAACTGAAGGTGTTGTCCCTCAGGTGTTAATGGCCTGTAGGGCACAGTGAAGCAATGCTGTCTGTATTTTAAGTACTCCTAAACCACGTAATTGAGGTACCTAATTTTTAAAACTTCTGGGTCAGAAACCTAGTTATGTGACTTGACATGGTTTCAAAAGTAGGTGTCAAAACAGCCCATCCATTGAGCAAGGACACCCATGGGCTTGTCCAGTTTCCATTCACATGTGATGGACAGGACACTTTATCCTACAAAGATATACTATGAACCTTATTTATATTTATCTGGCAGACTAGCGAGACCAATCTGTAGACTTTAACAGGAATGGAATTGCCTAGCTAGGCAGGACTGAATTTGCAGTGACTGGCAGAGACAAACTTACTCAAAATGCTGCATTATTCTGCAACAGTTCTGAAGTTAACTGTGGAAATGTTAACATGGCTTTGAATGATTCAAGTAATACACATCCTGATACTGAGCCTAAATAGAATCCCTCTCTACTTTTAGCACTAAAGGAAGCCTGGGCTGCATTCCTGTTTGTATAACTGTAGTCTCTCAAAGTACATTTCATTCTCCAACCCACTCACCCACCCTAGATGTGTAAATCTCCCAAATGATCCTGTTATCCATCTCCACCACAATTGTGAGCCATCTGCATAAGCCACCTCATTATCTAAGCAACGGAATCACCACATAAGCAAATATTATTCCCCTACAAATCTTTTAGAAATTCTGTGTGTTATTCTAGTGAACAGTAAATACAGGATATACACACAAAGATATAAAATATTTCATATAAATTCAAATAATTCATGGCCCTCTTGTTTACCAGCAAAGAACTTCAGGTAAAGATTTCCTGGCTCTTTCTAGGTGTTTCATAGATTTTAAATCCTCCCACTCCCCTTGTTTTTGGCTCATATAAACACACGACAATGTCTATACGTTTTTTTTTTTTTCCAAGAACAGTCCTCCTGTTCCAATTCAATAGCCCTGATGCTTCAAAATTCACAGGACAACTAAGGGTAAATATTATTTTATACTCTCAAAACATAGACTCAAGTCTACTAGGGGAAAGCCTACGAACAATGATTTTATAAACATGAGGATGTCTTCAGCTACAAATGTCAACAGGCAGTTTCAGAACTGTTGCCAGCCCCCACTGCTGCACTGGAAGTCTGTTCTCTGCTTGTTCCTGCAAAGTCAGCCTGCAGACACGTCTGCTTGGGCTGGGAGTGGACCCTGTTATTCTCAACTCGCTGCTGCTTGTAAGCTCTGGGTCAACAGGAGACCTTTCTCTTCAGCCTCAGCCCCAATCTCAGCTTTACTTCTTCTCCATCTTCATCTTCCTCCTAATATCTGCTTGAGGAATTTTTAAGAGACTGCAGGGCAAGGCTGCTGCCTAGCTGAGAACATCAGAAAATACCATGAGGGTGCTCAATCAGGAACCAGTGGTGTCAGAAGGCACCCTTAGCAAACTGGAACTTTTAACTTCAAATCATAAGCCCTACTGTTTCACTTGGCTTTGTCTTTCTTTGTGTGTTTCATAGTGAAAACAGCTACTTGCTGATACCTCAAAAGGCTAGTGCTGCACACAGCTTATCAGCCAAGGACAGTCAATGCTATCAATAAGAGTGGTTGAGTTGTGATCCTTTGTAAACAAATCAGAACATCCTCGTTACATTTTGGAAGGTTGGACGTTTTAGGTGACTGAAAAAAAAATATGATAATGGGCAAACAGCTTTCAGAAATAAATTACTGCAGCTTAGGAAAGAAAAAAAAGCCTGTTTTACTACTTCTTCATCCAGTATCAATAACATTATAAACTTAACCATGCTTTAAAAATAAAGGCATCATTACATTTTACCCCCTCTCTTCTCAACTTTATCTGGCAACTGTTTAATTAGACTTATCTAAATTCAGAACTATGATCCGAAAGGCATGTATGCGATGATTGCTCATGCATCAATTGTAAAGTTAGAGAAAAGCATTTAATTAGCCCGTCAAAGATACAGGTTGGGTCAAGTACCTGGCTCTGGCTGAACAAACACTTGATCCATGTCCTGGTGGAACAGTTACAGGTAGTTACGAGCCTCTTTAGTTTCCATTCTTCCCGACCACGCTGTGTGAAAGCAGTAGACAGTGGTAGCTGCAAGGCAGTTGATGGCACACCCCAGGTCTAAAGCTGTTGTTTCAGGCTTAGAAACTTCCCATTAAAACCCCGAGTTAAAGGAGCACCGTCTTTCTGTATGAGGCATCGTTAACGGCCAATACTGCTGCTTCTTTGAGGTGAGCCATGATTTCAGTTCTGCCTCAGCAACTCTTCAGAGGATTCTGCTTCAGTGAGTAGAGGCAGTATCCTAGCAGTGTGTCTGAAATCATCTTCAAGAAAGCATTAACATTCAAAAGGAGTACCGGGGGGGAGGAAAACATCACTGGGCATTCCCATACCTTTTCAAAATCAAAGCCATAAATCTACCAGTGCTCTGTCCTCTTTATTGATTGTTGACACTATTCCTCTTTGGGAGTGTCAATTAGCACCTCGCAGCAACCCTTCATATTGATTATAGTTGATGACCTTCAGGCCAACTCAATTAATAGGAAGACTTCTGGAGAAGGGCATCAAATTAGCATTTGGGAGAGAAAGAAAAAGCTCATTTTCCTAAAGAAAACGAAAGTGACCTTTCCAAAAAGCAGCACTTATGGGAAAGAAAAAACCATTTGAAAAGAACAAAATCATGGTTTCACCACCTGTCACCTGGTTGTAAATTAGCTGGGCAGTAGGTTGCCAGGTCCAGTGTCTCTCTGAGCAGCCTGCGTAACTGTGGCATTAGCAAAGCCCCCACCCCACACAGGGCACCTGAGACCACTTGATGAATAAAGAAGATTGATTTTTGTTAGAGAAAGTTGTTCTCATTCTACAGATTCTAGTTACCTGCTACAATGCTTAAATTACTTTCCTTGGATAAATAAATTTTCCAAATAAATTTGGAAAATATTTTTGGCTAAAATTCTTCATTAAAAACCCACTTCTCTAAAAAGAATTCAGCATAATGCTTAAGACGGAGCAACCTTGTTTTCTAGCAACCCACCACTTTCTTTGTTGAAGTGGAAGCACAGGGAGCGACAACACTCCCACCCATCAAATGATAGGGTGCGTGATATTTAAAGCTGCCTCTGACTGTGCCTGTCAGCTACGCTGTCTCCTCAGCTCTTGTGAGCAACCGGCCATTACCCAAAGGCTCTAGGAAACTGGAACCAAGCTCATTTTCTAAGAGGGAAACCCCATCTGCTCACGACAGACCACAATCCTGGATAGGATAGGCCTCGGACCCAAAAGGAACCTTTCAAATCAAATGCTAAATGTTAGGATCGAATGCTTGATGTTAGAGTCTAACCTCAAGAGAATATGCAGGTTCTTTCTCCATTTGTTTTCCTAATTTTTAACTGAATTTTCTTTCTAATTCATTTTACTTATCCTATTTTCAGACACACACATACCACACACCGTAAGACAATGGGACACATGAAATCCAACCGAGCCTGATCATCCTGTACTAACTGGCATCCCTCTTGCATTCAGCCAATGCTGGCAGAGGGAATGCCTGTCTTGGCAATGCCAACAGAGTGTGGTTGAGGAATCTTTCCGACCCCACCCTCCTTCCTATACTTATCATTCCATGCAGTGAGAAAATATCATAGATAGACATGAGCCTGGGTGACTGTAGCTTGCCCTGCCAAAGAGGCCTTCTGGGATATTGTTTTAGCCTACAGACTTGTAGAGGTAGAAGGGAACCTGAGAGGGCCTGTGGCTGTCCTTTAGCTACTCTGCAGGCTGAAATCATCCCAGAAAGATGAGTGCCTTGCCTATTTTAAAAACTCTCCAGGGAAGTAGATTCCATGACTTCCTCTGACAACCCCTGTTTAAATGAACTCCTCCACTGCTTACTTAGTCTGAATGGGTTGGTACGTTTCTTTTCATTCTGTCCTTGCTGCAAAAAGTCAGGCACTAACCACTCCAAAATTTTGTTAGAATGCCCTTTTCCTTCAGGGAGGCCGAACTAGATAAACCAAAGAGTATTTGATGAAGATCTGGTGTTATGCTTGGAGCCAAATTTAAATCTCTCTTCTTTTTTTTTTTTTTTAATTTATTTATTATTATTATACTTTAAGTTGTAGGGTACATGTGCATAACGTGCAGGTTTGTTACATATGTATACTTGTGCCATGTTGGTGTGCTGCACCCATCAACTCATCATTTACATCAGGTATAACTCCCAATGCAATCCCTCCCCCCTCCCCCCTCCCCATGATAGGCCCCTCTGTGTGATGTTCCCCTTCCTGAGTCCAAGTGATCTTATTGTTCAGTTCCCACCTATGAGTGAGAACATGCGGTGTTTGGTTTTCTGTTCTTGTGATAGTTTGCTAAGAATGATGGTTTCCAGCTGCATCCATGTCCCTACAAAGGACGCAAATCTCTCTTCTTAAAGATAATTACAATTGAAATTATTAAAATCAGCCCTTCCCCTTATGCAGCTATATTATGTGAATCATCATGAATTCTAACACAATGAATAAGGGTCTACCAAAGTTCCATTTGAACATTTTATAATAGATCCTATTTCTTTCGTCTTTAATAATCTACATATCTCTTCTCGGAATTCTTAAAATTTCTGCTCTCTGGTGCAACTTTAAATAGGAAGCCTAGAATACTACATCGAGCTGTACACAGCTCAGATACACATGGAATTGTGGTGAAACAGGATGATTTTATGATGTATAAATGGCTATATATGCTGTGCTTCTACTTACCCATTCTGATCCAGGGCCACTCCTGGGTGTAGTTTAGTCTTTCTCTTTAGTTACACAACATCATGAGTTAACATTAGTTAGAAATCTACTTTAAGAACTTCTACATTTTTATTTCAAGCCTCACCTTCAATGTTCTTTAATTTACAATTATTTCCTAAATGTCCTATGATGCACTTTTCCATGAAGAAATAGATAATGAATATGAAAAAAAGACTCTATAAGCCATCAGTCTTCATGCTAGTACAAGGCTGTATTATTATTATTACTATCTTTCTTTCTAACTCTGCCTAATTCTCAAAATAAAATTGAACAAAAACTCTATATAACCTTCAAAATATAAACATGGTTCTTATCAATAGACTCTTCGTAAAACTCCTTTCTTCCCTCCTTTGTGTATGTTCTTTCTTTCACTTATCCAGGGACCATTCATTAGCTCTCAATGTCAGATATGTTTTGTGTTAGGTGTTGCAAAGAATAAACAATATGAATACTAGGTCCTGGCTTCTGTTTGTTCAGGTTGTGCACTGAACAACTCTAGGAGGTTCCTTGGTAAACAGGGCCCTGAGGAGCTCCACTTCTAGTGATGGTTGCTGAGCTTCTTGACAGACTGGCCCACTTTCACTAAATTCCAATTCCTAACCTTCCCAACCTCCCCCTTCACGACTCACCCAGCAGACATCTGAACTGTATCCTTACCTTTCTACAGGACCTGATTTCACAAGGTCACCAGTGGCTTCTGGTTGCCTCAAGCCAAAGAGTCCTTTTAACGTTCATCTTCCTTGCTTTTTGGCAACACTGAACATAGCTGAACACTCACCAAAAGGAAGGTTCAGAAAAACAATACGTGGATTAAAGTGAGTGGCAGGAACAATTATCTCAGCCCTTAGGGTCCCTCTCCCTTGGTGCCTTCTCTCTTCATTGCCTCTCTTTGGTACTCTGGGGTTCAGGCCAAATAAAATTCATGCAACTACCAGCAAATGGGAAATGAAGGTAGAAAGACAAGCAGGCTAGGATACACGTTAATAACCCCACCACTTTTTAATTCATTAAAAAAATAGTGCTAGTCAGTTTATGTGTGGTATTTTAATTTCTGTCTTCTTGTTTTAAAAAAATAAATATACCAGGCAACATAAATCTTTGCATTAAAGAAAAGTCAAGATTAGCTCTATTTCTAAAATCTCTCTGATTTGCCAGGTCTAAGTTTATTTATCCATTTGCTATCTTCACAGATCAGTGAACATTCAAAGCTTAAGGGAACAGTGGGAAAGGTTTAATGATATTCACACCAAGCCTATACATTGGGATCTATATTTAAGAGTTATTAAAAGCAAGCAGGTTAAAGTCCAACTGCAGATAGGCAGCCTCCTGGTTTGATCTTTTCTTGAATGCATTTCCGTATACATCATATCTGTGTTACGCTAAATGCTCAATTAGTAGCTGATACATCTAGAATAGAGAAGCCTCAAAATGAAGATGAGAATGCCGCAACGGAGTGGAAATGTATGCGCAAGAAAAAAAAACACTGACAGAATTTAATACTTGTGAGGATTATAGATTGCCCTACAAAATTTTGTTCATCCTTTCCTGTGTAAGTCAGAACAATAAAGTATATAGCCAGGAAATGAATCACGCTGCCAAAAAAGCTGATCTCCAACCCTAAGAAAGATCAACTTCACAAAATACACAGCAGTAGTTCTATTTAGAAGCAATATTTGCAACATTTAAGTTATTAATTCTAATTACAGTATAAAAGTATAAGGACGTCACTACAGATTATTCACTGTTCAAAGGAAATACTTCGGCTTTAACAGCCTGGTGGGTAAATTTATTCTTTTAAAGTGACTTGTACAATAATAACAATGTTCTTAATGGGTCTGAAATACTTAATGCCTTTAAAATGTCATACAAAGTGCCAATTAGAGTTTTATACAAATCATTCCTCTATATTTTTATGCTGTCATTTTGGAACTGTTCTTTCTCTGTTCAACAGCTACATTTTAGAAAGGAAACTACTGCATGGACAATTTGAAGACTGAGCAGCTTAGAACATTAGGATAATCGAGGAAATGAAATAGAAGGTACGTGGGAATAACTGACCTGTTAGCCCGACTTTAATACCTAACAAAATTCTGGAACTGAAAATCTTTCCACTGATAAATCAATTTTGAAAACACCCAGAGGAGAAAAAAATCATAGGAAGCAGTTAAAAAATGCTTGTTTAAAAAAGATCATGAAAACCCAATTTCCATTTCTGATATTTATACTTGTAGAATGGTGGACAGGAGTTTGAGGAAGTGGTAATAAACAGAAGTTGTGATAGATGGGCATTGAATGCAAATTTCAGCCCCCTCGATGCTACATCTTATAGATGATGTACTTAAATGCTGCTTGCAAAAATATTTAACTTTATAGATATTTCAAAATTTCAGTGGGAGCCATCAAGAGTTTCAGTTATATAATATATGATTAAAATAGGCAGATATTAAGGTTTTATCTATCTCTTCCAAACTTTAATAGGAGGCCTATCATCTATAATTTTGCCTGTAAATAATATATATTTCATATTTATGTATAATAAGTATGTAAATATTATAAATCTCCTGTATTTCTGTTATATATAATATTAAATTACCTTATGAGCTTGTTAAGCATGCATATTTAGCCAGGAGATGGGGGAGGGGAGGGCAGGTAGGCCCAGATAATTTAATTCAGTAAGGCCAAGAACCTGTATTTGGAATAAGAAACCTACATGATTAATGATGTAGGGCATATGAAGTCCACACTTTGAAAAATTATAAAGTTAAATGATTGGTTCCCCTTTTTGATTATTTTGCCATAATAAGCAGTTTAACTGTGTGGGGAGAGAGCCTTTCGAATATCACAGACTTCTGTGAAAAACTGATTATATCCATGGACCCGCCATTAGAAAAATGTATATGCCCTGCATTAAGAACCTCTGCCTGGAATTCCCATTCAAAATACATACATCTCTTCTTCCCTTCCTTTCTCCCTCTCCTTGTTTCCTTCCATTAAAGTGGTAGTAAAGAATGACTGGAATAAAGCCCATAGGAGGAAGACAACAGAATAGAACAAGAGGCAGAGAGAAGCTTGGTCTATTTCTGGGAGAGGGAAAGCGAATGGAGGAATGTTGAATGGAGACAGAGCTCAGAAAACATGCCGAGGCAGCTCCAGCTGAAAAGGAGAGTGACTGCCCAGCTGGAAAGACTATGGTCAGGAAGGAGAAATGAAGCTAAATTAGGGAGAGGTGGAAGCCCCATGGACAAATGAACGACCCATCACATTCCAAGGCTGTGGAGGCAGCCAGTGGGTCAGGAATCCTGATATAGCTGCTGGGACAGGTGGTGGCAAGATTGAGCTCAATTACCAGTTATGATAGTAAGAACATCATAGAGAATGTCAGCACTGATAAAAAAGCAGGAATGATGTCAACATCTATTATTAAGAAAACAACAAACGAGAGAATTAAAAAGAGCAACTGTTAAAATTCCTTCGCCCTGGGTTTAGACCTTCAAGATGAGGACAGTGCACAGGTTTGCTGCTTTTCATTATAAACCCTTTCGTGCAATTTGATTGTTTAACCATGCACATATTGACTAACTATGTGCAATTTCACTTTGCAAAAATTGTCAATATAATTGGTGTGGGCAAACCGTTAAAAAATAAAACCTCACCTTTAACCAAGGCAACAAATCTCATATAATAGCATCTTACATACCAACACCAAATGAATGGATGATTCTTTGAGGACGGGGACTTCTAGAACATTCAGAGTCTTCCCTCTAGGGTTATGGTCTGCTTTGCATATAAGTAAAGCTAATCTTTCTTGGTTCTCCTCAAACATACTATGTACACTTAAAATGTAATTTATTGTAATCACATGCAGTGCAATAAAATCTAAACTACTGCCCTTGTTTTTCCATAGCAGGCAGACATGATCTGTTTTTATATGTGTTAGCTATTCATTCAGTTATATAGCTAACTTCTATTTAATTATTTATTTTTTCATTTATTTATGTGTGTATGTATTTATACCCCATTACATTTCAGAAATGTTTGAAGAAAGCTATGTAGTAGATTATATGTCATTAGCTGTAGCAGAATGTCATGTTTATTATGTGATATTCTGTAATTATGTATTTATGTAAAAAGTCATGCAATTTTTTTATTGATAACCTAATAAAAGGCTGGATGTACTTGTTTTCAAATTTTGAAGAATAAAATCCTTTTAGAATGATTGTTTGGCTGAAACACTACCCATATTTAATCTAAAAAAACTGTGTCCCTTATTAATTTATTTTTGCAGTAATTGGACATAGACAAATGCAATAGCACATACTTCAATATGTTCAGTGTTTTTTACTAACACAAAGGTGAAAAAGCTGGATGTTAAATTAATACGAACTGGATACAATTCAGAAACAATTTTCAAAGAGCTTGTGAAAAAAGCATCTTCAATCTTCATTTGAAATGCTCAAGAATAACACTTTTAAAACACCTGAGACAGAGTAGATATTAGCCAAGTCTTGCTTCCATTTTTTTTTTTTTTTTTCATCCTCATGAGAATGTCCTTCAGCACTGCTTTTAGGAAGGGTCCTTGCTTTTGTTCTCCACATTTTTCTTAATTCAAAAGTGGATATTGGGTCAATTGAGAAAAATGAACATTAGGTATTGCCAATAGCTCTGAGATTCATGCTGCATATTATAAATATGGTTAGGGAATTGGATCAAATGCCAGTATAATATTCAGTGAACTATTGATTACTAATGTGTCATCCAAGAAAAGCTGTTTGCAAATGGGAAAAGGATGAAGAAAAATCTCTCCATGCTTGCCTGTACATGCCTACTCTCCTAGGCCAAGGCAGGATGGCAGACTGGGCCATTCATCATTAAATAGTCACCTTTTCCCTGGCCCTGCCTTCGAGAATTGGCCTCTATGCCCTGAGATGAGCTCTCTCTCTGGCTTCTAGGGCTCTGTTTTGGTTTCCCTCCAGAGACGGAATCTACAACTTGTCTCTCTGTCTGGTATAGTTCCTTGCATCTCTTTTTTAACCTTCCTTATTCTGTAGTCCTATCACTGCCAAAACAATAAATTTCTCCAAGATGTTTTCCTTCAACTATTGTCCATTCAAAGACTATGTGGCTCAGGAAAGTAAATACAACAAAGAATAGAACGTATTTTTGCAATTTCAGTCAACTTCTGTTTTTATGTCTTTCTGATATCTAACACCGGAAAAGCAACAGTAAAATAATATTAATATTAATATTAATACCATAATCACAATAACAAAACTCATCAACCTTGTACCTTTGGTATTCTTAGACACTGAACTCTTATAATGGCAAGAATTGGACCCTCTGATAAGTGATGCTGAGCATTTTTTCATATATCTATTAGCGATTTGTGTATCTTCTTTTAAGAAATATCTGTTTAAGCCGGGCACAGTGGCTCACGCCTGTAATCCCAGCACTTTGGGAGGCTGAGGCGGGCAGATCACAAGGTCAGGAGATCGAGACCATGGTGAAACCCCGTCTCTACTAAAAACTATCCGGGCGAGGTGGCGGGCGCCTGTAGTCCCAGCTACTCGGGAGGCTGAGGCAGGAGAATGGCCTAAACCCCAGAGGCGGAGCTTGCAGTGAGCCGAAATCGCGCCACTGCACTCCAGCCTGGGAGACAGAGCGAGACTCTGTCTCAAAAAAAAAAAAAAAGAAAAAAGAAGTATCAGTTTAAATTTTTGCCTATTTTAAAATCAGACTGCTTTTTTTTTTGTAAATGAGTTGTTCGAGTTTCTTAAATATTCTGGTTATTAATCCCTTGTTTGATGGGTAGTTTGCAAACATTTTCTCTCTTTCTGTGGGTTGTCTCTTCATTTCGTTGATTGTATCCTTTGCTGTGCAGAAGCTTTTTAGCTTGGTGTAATCCCAATTGTCTATTTTTCCTTTGATTGCCTGTGCTTTGGGGGCCTTATGCAAAAAAATGTCTTTCTTATTTCCTCAATTTTTTTCATGTCTTTAATCCACTTTGATTTGATTTTTGTGTGTAGTGAGAGGTAGAGGTCGAGTTTCATTCTTATGCATACAATTATCCAGTCTTACTGGCACCATATATTAAAAAGACTATCCTTTCTCCATTGTATGTTCTTGGAACCTTTGTAGATGAGTTTGTTGTAAATGTATGGATTTATATCTGGGTTCTCAATTCTGTTTCACCAGTACCATGCTCTCTTAGTTACTATAGCTTTGTAGTAAATTTTTAAGTCAGGTAATGTGATAACTTGTTCTTTTTGCTCAGGATTATTTTGGTTATTTGGGTCTTTTCTGGTTCCATATAAGTTTTAGAATTATTTTTATTATTTCTGCAAAGAATGTCATTGGTATTTTGATAGGGATGAAACTTAATCTATAAATTGCTTCAGGTAGTATTGTCATTTTGACATATTAATTTTTCCAATCCATGAGAATGCAATATCTTTCCATTTTTTTCGGGTGTCCTCTCTTCTATTTCTTTCTTCAGAGGTTTATAGTTTTCCCATTATAGATCTTTTACTTCTTTGGTTAGGTTGATTCCTAGGTATTTTTATAATTTTTGTAGCTATTATAAATGGGGTTGTTTTCTTGATTTCCTTTTCAAATGATTTGCTATTGGCATGTATAAATGCTACTGAGTTTTGTGTGTTGATTTTGTATCCTGCAACTTTATTGGATTTGTTTATCAATTCTAACAGTTCTTTTGGTGGAGTCTTTAGGTTTTTCTAAGTATAAGATCATGTTTTCTGTAAACAATGCTAATTTTACTTCTCCCTTTCCAGTTTGGATGCCCTGTATTTCTCTCTTGCTTAATTGTTCTGGCTACGACTTTCATTCTTACATTGAATAATAGCGGCAAAAGTGGGCATTCTTGTCTTGTTTGAGTCTGGCAATAACAGATGCTGGCTAGGATGTGGAGAAAGGGGAACCCTCATACACTGTTTATGGGAATGTAAATTAGTACAACCACGTTGGAGAACTACATGGAGGTTCCTCAACAAACTAAAAATAGAACTATTGTACAATCCAGCAATTCCCCTGCTGGATATATATTTAAAAGAAAGGAAACCAATATATCAAAGAGATATTTGCATTCTGATGTTTACTGCAGCACTATTCAAAATAGCCAAAATATGGTGTCAACCTAAGTGCCCATCAAAGGTGAACTGATAAAGAAAATACTGTATGTATATACTATGGGATATTATTCAACCATAAAAAAAAGATGGAAATCCTATCATTTGCAGCAACTTGAATGGAACTAGAAACCATTATGCTAAGTGAAATAAACCAAGCACAAAAAGACATATATCTTATGTTCTCACTCATATGTGGGAGCTAAAAACATGTATCTCATTAAGATAGAAAGTAGATTGGTGGTTACCAGAGGCCAAGAAGGAGAGAGGGGAGAGAAGAAGGAAGAAAAAAGAATATAAATGAATTTTTACCACTGAACAATATACCTAAAAATAGTAAGAGTGGTAAGTTTTATTTTCTATTAATTTATTTTTCACTTGAGTGATTGTGATTTTAGGAGAGGTAACACATCTATCCACAGACTTCACTCTGTTACAAATCACTGTAAACAATCAAAGCAATTGGATTTTTTTCCAGTTGTTTTCTCTTGCAACATAATTGCTATACTTTGCCTGTCATAGTAAAATAAGTCTAAACTGGCGTAATCATTAATTACTAGCTTCGAAAGAGCAATCTTCATTTGTGTCAGACAAGATAGGCTAGATAATGCTATGATTTTTAAAAATATTTTGCAGTGGCAAAAAATAACAAAAGTTTATTTTTTGAGACAGAGTCTCGCTCTGTTACCCAGGCTGGAGTGCAATCTTGGCTCACTGCAACCTCCACCTCCAGAGTTCAAGCAATTCTCGTGCCTAAGCCTCCCCAGTAGCTGGGATTACAGGTGTGTGCCACCACACTCAGCTAATTTTTGCGTTTTTGGTAGAGGCAGGATTTTACCATGTTGGCCAGTCTTGTCTCAAACTCCCAACCTCAGGTGATCTGCCTGCCTTGGCTTCCCAAAGTGCTGGGATTACAGGCGTGAGCCACCACACCTAGCCACATAAGTTTATTTCCTGCTACATGTTCATGAAAGGTCATTCAGGGACTCCTCTCCTATGTCACCATCATCTTTATTCCAAGACCCAGACAGAGAGGCTGGATTCTACCAGATAAGGAGGTAGAGAGAAAAGATGGCATGGTAAAGCATATGCTGGCTCTTAAGGACTCTACCAGTGGCTCAAATTGCATTGGACAAAGTAAATCTCATGACCACATCTGGATTTAAAAGGCTAAGAAGTATAATCTTTCCCTAGGAAGGAACATGGAATACTGTCAAGCAATGACATAGTCTACAACTACATTTAACTAGAGTGTTACCATTTACAGAATGACTCTTCATAGATTATGTCCCCAAGATAAACTTTCTTTAGCATAACTATCCCCCATCTCAGCATACATGAACTTCATCCTACACCAACACTATCTTCCAGTCTTTGCTCCATTTCCACCTGCACTTGCTTGAACCTCCTGCTTCAGCCTCCTTGCCTTCTCTTTGCTTCTAGCCTCATGTTGCCTTGTGGTGCCTTAGTTTACCTAGTTTCATTAGCCGCTGGTCTACTGGGTCCTGTTTTGGATTACATCTTGTCTCCTTTGTAGCTCACCACAATACAGCTGTCTGTTTAGCATGTTGCTCTTCTCATGCCACTCCAGAACTCTAGATCTTTCCTAATGAGCAAGGGCACAGTCTGACACTTCCAGATGCACTCCCGTGTCTTGGCTCCATCCCTAATGGATCAATTATTACAGCCAGTACCTCACAGGAGCCATATCATCCTAGGACACAAATATTATCATGGTAATTTTATAGCCACATAGACAAGATGTGAGGAGGTTAAATTATTTACTCAGGAATACAAAGATCACATTGAAAACATTTTTGCCCATTTCTCGCTCTTCTGCAGTGTCTAAAAGAAAGAACCAGGGGTGCATGTCCTCCGGACCTCCGGAGACTGCGTCATGGAAAACAAATAAAAAATGAAAGAACCATGGTAGGTCTCAACGTAACTCAAAGTTTGATAGGGACCTCTGGAAGAGCAATGACATTCTTTTCTCAGTGAGTGGAGATGGTGGATGTGGACCTTGAAAGAGACTGCATCAAATTGGGAGTCTGAGAATTGTCTCTCTGGTCTGCAGA